TCCCAGCTGCTTAGCCTAAATGGCAAAGTCCTTGGGGATTGGCCTCCAGTTTCTCTCTATAGCCCTTTTCTAGTCCCACCCCCACCCCTACTCCGAAGCAGCAATCTGAATCTCAGTCACCTCCCCTGCCTGCACCCCTCAGCCTCTAGCCCAGGTCTTGACCCATGCTTTCTCTTCTCAACCACCTGGCTTGCTCAACGGGCCTTCACCTGGTTCAACCCCAGATACCTCACTGCTGAATTTGCCTCGTTTCCTACGTGCTTACCAAGTGCCTAGTGCTTATTCCTGCAGTGGCATTTCTCAGCTCATCACATGGTATTTTAATTTCACATTATCTTTCTCTATCTCTTACTGGACTCTGAACAAAGGAGAGCAATGTATTGAGAGAGAGAGCCTGGGGCTGTATCAGAGGTAAGGTCAATGCCCTGGTTGCTAATGATTACAGTGGGGTGGGGCGGGGGTTGTGAGAGACAAGTGTGAAAGATTATTCCTTAAACCACTATGTCTGCGGCCAAAGGCCACCTGGACAAATCATGGTATCTCCAGGTTATCAGTCCTATAAAGGGAACTTGATGGGGAAAAAGGAGGGAAGCTGGACGGGAAGGTATCTGGCTTACCTTGTGTTTCTATCATGGTTGCACATGAGAATTACTTGGGGGAGCTTTGAAAAATACCAGCTCCAGGTCTAGCCTTGGAAAGTCTGTCTTAGTTGTGCTGGGATAAGGCTCAGGCACTTGTCTTTTTAAAAAGGTCCTCGTAACTCTTATGAGGATCATATTGAGACTCTCTGGTTAGGGAAGTGTAAGGTTAAAAGGGCGGGCCATTTTTGCAGTGTGGGTAGGGGGGCTCCTGGGAGTAAAATTAAGTCAGCCAGAGTGTGCCATCTATTTCCATGATATACACGATTTAATTCTGCTCTTCAGATCCCAAACTCCTTCAGATCCCAATTCTCAAACCAGAGGAACACAGACGTTCATTCTGCTCCGGTAAGAGTAAAGACTAAAGACTTACTAAATCAGTAAGCAAATGATTTCTGCTTTCGGAGAAAAGACCTTGGCCGGTTGCGGCAGGGAATTAACATTTCTTGAGACCCTCTTCTACATTAGGGGTCTTTACATTGGTAATAGGGGGCTTCCATTTCCGGCAGTCCTGTTGTGTCTGTGCCTCCTTGGCCCCAACACCCCCTGCCCCCAAGCATTGTTGCTGACCTTCCTCTGCCTCTTGTGGCATTTTCCTAGTCCCGGATCTTTAATAACTGAGATTGGACAGAATAATGAGATAATCAGCCACAGTAATACTTGATTAAAGGTTACTGGTCTCACAGAAAGTAATACTTCTGTCTAGTTAAAATTCATGAGTTGGCTTGAGAAGGCCCGTAAGGAATGATCTTAAGATGGGAATCATTTCAGACCCCTTACATGGCAGATGGGGGAGATACAGTTTTAACAGCTTCATTGAGATACAATTTACATATTATAAAATTCACGCATTTTGCAATAGCCAAAAGGTGGAAGCAACTCATATGTCCATTAACGGATGGATGGATAAATACATATAATGGAATATTTATTCAGTTTTAAAAAGGAAGGAAATTCTGACACATGCTATACAGGGATGGACCTTGAAGACATTATGTTAAGCAAAATAAGCCAGTGACAAAAGGACAGTTACTGTATCATTCTGCTTATATAAGGTACAAGAGCAGCTAAATTAATAGAGTCAAAAAGTAGAATGGTGGTTGCCAGGGGCTGGAAGGAGGACAGAATAGGGAGTTTTTCAGTGGGAATGGAGGTTGGATTCTGTAAGATGAAAGAGTTCTGTGCACGGATGATGGCAATGGCAGTACCACAGAGTAAATGTATACAGTGCCACTGAAATGTGTACCTAAAGGAGGTTATGATGGTTAATATTATGTATATTCTACCATAATTGAAAATAAAAATTTAATTTGCCAATTTAAAGTGTACAACTTAATGGTTTTCAGTATACATACGGAGTTGTGCAACCATCACAATCATCTAACTTTTTAAAGATTTTTAAAAAACTTTATTTATTTGACAGAGAGAGATCACAAATAGGCAGAGAGGCAGGCAGGGGGGGGGAAGCAGGCTCCCTGCTGAGCAGAGAGCCCGATGCAGGACTCGATCCCAGGACCCTGACATCACGACCTGAGCCGAAGGCAGAGGCTTAACCCACTGAGCTACCCAGGTGCCCCACAATAATCTAATTTTAAAACATTTTCATCACCTACCCCACTTCCCCCAAACCCTCCTCATACTCATGAGCAATCACCTGGGGAAGATATTTTTAACATGCTATAGGCGTCACTCAACACTCATAGACTCTTAGAAGGGACCTGAGAGATTTGGTCTTATCTCCTCAGATGAAGAAATTGAGGGTCAGGTAAGCAGAGTGTCTTGTCAAAGGTCACACAGCTAATTCATGACAGAACCAAGTCTTGATTTTCTGGGAAGTTCTTTGTCCTGCTACAAAAATGCTATCCCTCACTTTCTTCAAATTGATGCTTATGATAGACAAATAGTATCTGGAGATATTACTGCTCCCCACCGAGGGCAACTGGGCTCTTTCTTCAGCCTCCCTTCACATCTGCCTGAGCTAGAAAGCAGAGAGGAAAAGAGTATAGTGGGGAAAAAATGGAAACTGTGTTCAATAATGCCCCCTGATGCCTTAATTCCATTGGGGAAGAGTCATAACAGTTTTACTGAAAATCATGTCTCAGCCCCTCATAGAAGAATGATTGGAAACACAGCTAGGTGCAGGGATCTTACTTTTGAAGGATGTGGTGTTTTTGTAGTGGAGACAGGGGAAAGTGTCAATAAACAGCAACATCATGGGTCAGCAATACCAAGGTCCTGGGCTGGCCATGGTGGTCACAATGCCCCTTGCTGTCTGGCTGTTGGAAAGCTGCAGAGGAAGTGGGAGATGCAGCTTCTGTAAGTCTTGCAGTCTTCTGCTTCCTGTAGCATTTAGGCCCAGCACAGGCTTGACTGAGGAAGTCACTGGCTAAAAGTTGGGGTTAGGGGAGCAGTGGATAACTAACTTTGTGAGTGAAAGCCTTCCAAATGTGTTCCAGTATTCCTTTGGAACTCATTGTCAACTGAAGCATTTTCAACTGTCCTTATTTCCAGGAGAGCTTGTGGGGAGGGCTCTGTGGTTGCTAATGGTAGGGAATGAGCAACCAAGTATGAGAGACCATGGAAAATCATGTAGCTGTAGATCTGGAAATTTCTATACCAAGTCCTGAAGCCTAATTGTGAGATTTGGGCCTCTCTCTCTCTCTTTCTCTCTTTTTTTCTCTCCTCTGGTTTCTCTGAGAATTTGAGCTATCCTCCTCCTTCCTGGTTACCACCCTAACTCACCACAGGCTGATGTAGGTTGCTTGGAACGTCTCCATCTGGGCTACTCAAGAAGCAAATACTCTAAACCTCCTGTGTGTTTCCACCCTAATGAGACAAACCTGACTGGAGAGACTGCCATGGGGAATGATATAGGTTTCTAGACAACAAGTTCCCTGAGGACAGTGTCTGGATTATTCATTTTTACTGGTGCCTAGCAGAGTGCCTGGATCATGTGTTTGCTGAATGAATGAGTAGTAACATTTCCTATCAAATGATGCATTATTACTTACAAAGTGATTTATCTCCCACGCATTAACTCATTCTTGCAACTGCTCCTACCTTACCCCTGGAAGGTAGGCAGCAAGACTGTTTTACATATGAGGTCACATAGCTGTAGGTTGGCTTTCAGAGTCTAAATCCGTTGGCATTCTCATACAAGTGTCTTGAGACTGCCCTTGCTAAAATATTCTGCCAAAGCCCTGCAAGATCTGAATATGGATTCAGATAGACATTGGTGGATTCTGAATTTTGTTCCTAAATTTGGAATAGACATATTCTTCATCTAAATATAGTCTCACTAATGGTATGATTTTGTGCTATTTGCTAATCACTGTGGGTGTGTAGGATTTTTTATTATTATTACATTTTGAATTACATAGAATTTAGGGGCTAGCCTGGTAAACTGGTGAATCCCCATGTAGTTTGTAGCAGCTATTTCCTGATATAGATTTGGCCTGATATACTATTGTACCTAATACAGTTTTTGGTGATTTCAATTAACTAGATTGTAGCTTTATGGACCTAGGTCTTCAAGAAACACATGTTCAAACATTCTCCCTCCTTAATGAGATCCTTGTTCCTGTTGAACTTCTATGACCTTATTGGAAATCAATGATTGCTTCTGATCCTCCAAATGTAATGTTGAAAAGACCTGGATGAAATCACTATACAAAATGCTTTGAGATTGCAGGATGTGGAGAGCGTGCTGTCATTAAAATGAATGATTCTGCTTGGAGGTAAACCGTATTTTCAGTCTGTGTGTATATTGCGCATGAGGGAATTTCTCTGTGCAGAATGATTTTCTCCAAATAATTCGTACGCTCACAGCACTGCTGGTAGCAGGTATCACCTAGCTCCTAGGTGGCAGCTTGGCTAAAGCAAGCTTTCCTTTCCTAGCAACTGTTGCTAAGAGGGGCGTGGCTAGGGAGTCCAGCTAGGACGCGTTAGGCCGCCCCCACCCCCGCCACGATGTAGACTACACTTCCCATCATGCTCGAGGGTGGTCTCCGTAGTGACGCACTGGGTGTCCGAGCAGTGGGGAGGAGAGGCGGGGGCGGTGGCGGCGGCAGCAAGGAGGGGCCGTGCTCTCCCCGTGTCCCCGACTTGCGCTCGCTCAAGCAGCTGCCGCCGCCGCCGCCATGTTGGTTTGAGAGGCGATGACAGGAGGCGGCTGCGGCGTTTGGGACTGAAAAGTGGAGGAGAAGGAGAGACAAAGCTCCGAGAGGAAACCATTCCCGGGCTGAGGAGAGGGAGGACCCGGCCTCTTCCGGGGACGAGCCGAAGTCGGCGTCGGAGGGGAGGGGAAGGTGGCGGCGGGGGGAGGCGGAGGCAAGAGAGGAGCGCCGAGAAACCGGAGACGATGCGCCCCGAGACTCGACGCTGCCCGGAGGCGCCCGCGGCCTGAGCCCCAAGGGGCCGTGGGGTCTCCCACCCGGCCCGAACGCCCCGCGCCCCGCGCTCGCCGCCCCGGGCTTTCGCTTCGGCTCCCAAGTAGTTAAATGCCCTTGAGCGCGGGTTTCCGCGGCCCGGCTCCCAGCCCCGGCAGCGCGAGTTGAGCTGTTTCCCCGCGCCGTCCGCCGGCTCCAGCGCGGCCGCCACTCACTGCTCACGCGTCCATGTGTAGCCACATAGTTATCTATGTACATCCACGCTGGGGCATTTTCCTCCTGCTTAATGAGGACTTGACTCGGGAGCAAGTGTGAATCACTGCCGGGCTGGAAAAGGAGGAAGGCGGATTTAACCCCCTCCCACCCCGCTCCATGTCCGTGTGTCACTCGGCTGGGTCTACCTGGTGCGGCCGGTCCTGGGGCTGCTGCTGCCGCTGACGACGACGGGGGCTGCTGCTGCTGCTGCCGCTGCTACCGTCCCGGGAGTTCTCTCCGGCTTCGGCCACACAGGTCCTGGGGATTGTTCTCTTCGCTCGGAACCTCGGTCAGGCCGGCACTTTGGCTCCGAAATAACTTATTTTTTGGAAGGCATATCACGAACCAATCAAGATCGTTAAGGTTGATTGCTGTACCTTGAAGAGTTCTCCTTTTTGTTTGTTGTTGTTTTTTTGTTTTTGTTTTTGCCCCCGGTAAACATCTCTGGGTGTATATCAAACGGCAAGATGTCCAGTAATGTCCCGGCAGATATGGTAAGTGAAGGATAAGTTACGACATTCTTTGATTTAATTGTGGTTTCCAATCTTATTTAATCAGAAAGGATGCAGGCATGGGATGAAGGTTTGCAGGGGACTGTTGAAAAGCCACGGTTCTGGGAGATTTGGAGAAGTTGGAGGAGGTTCTGGTTCCCCCTCTTAGGAAGTACCGCTTTTAATACGGCTTTTCTCATTTGGTTGTGTTTTCTAAATCATCAAAGACAATGGAGAAATAGGGGAAATGTGGCAGTGTAGGTCGAAGTGGAGAAAATATCTCCCTCTTTGCCAGAAATCTTTGAACATTTGTAAAGCTTCTGAAAACGTCAGTGACAGGAGGCAGAGCTGAGGACGGGTGTCCCTACTACATACAGAGGTAGGCAGGGAAACTGGAATCTTGTTCTTTGACACTGACGAGATCATTAATGCAGTAGAGACAAACTTGATATTTTCAAGAAAACGGACGTGTATGTCTTCAAGAAAAAGTCTGCTAGAATTTGCTGTGAGCTTTTTGAAATGTCTGGGTGAACAACTATGGCAACAGAAATACTGAGATGTTTTGGAATTTTCGGAAATCTAGACTGACCGTCTATTGGTACTTATGAATTTCCAGGACTTTTAGTACCAGATATTTAGTAGTATTACATCACTGGACTTTTAAAAGCTAATAAAACACAGTATTGAGCCTTGATCTTTGAATGTTGAGAACTTGAAACAAAAAGTACTTTTGTTTATTGATGCTTTTCTTTCTGTTTCTAAAGGTTAATGTTTGTTAATGTTCTGAGTCTGTTGGCTAACAGAACCCTGTAGGCTTACAGTGAGGGGAGGTGGTGGATTTGTGAGTTGAAATTACACTTTGCAGTCCTAGGGACAAACATAATGCAATTAACAGGAAGATCTCTAAAGAATTGAAGTTAACATTAGCATTTGAGTTTTCGTGTATTCCAATGAAAAAACAGGATTGAACTTGGCTGATTAAATTTTTAAACGTCAGATAATTTCTGTAGGAGCGAACCTCATTTACAGACTTAAAAACAAACCTAACTGACTATAAATGGCATATTTTGACCTTGGTTTAAAGCCATTTTGCTTATGTTTGATTTGCCATTTGATGTACTATTTTAATGTATAGGAACCACAGTGTTCTGTTGTGTGGCGACACAGCAACTTACACTCTCCTTCCTGAGTCTTAAAACTCCTGAATTGTCCCTTTAGTTTTCCCCTTTCCTCCTGGTGTGCACATGGGAGAAGTCTCCTGCGCGACTAAGGATAAGCTGGACATGGTTTCCTCTACCCCACTCTTGAAGTTGCCTGGAAGGGTGTGTGGACTGAGTTGGAAAATGTTATTTCCCCTCTCTGATGAGTATTTTGGGGGCTAATCGCTTCCAGCACAGATTTGTTCTCTAAAGTCTCCGTTTTATATTGTCGGTGGTGCAAGATATGTTCACTCTATTCTGTCATAGAAATTGTAATGAATAGATTTGTGTCTTTAAAACAGTGCCACTACTTTCTTTAGGCCCAGTGATGAAGAAAAGCTGGAATGTGCGTAGCATCAGTTACAAATTGAAATGATTTGGGGAATACCGTTTCCAAGTCAGAAGAAGGTTCGGAAGCTAATGTTCGGATCAGGGGAACGGGAAGTAGTAGCAAGGTTATATTAATAGGTACAATTATAAAATATAACTATTTCTGTTTTAGACTGTATTTTAAGGCCTTGATTCGGTGGTGCTTTGAGATCCCTTGATTAAAGGTGATATGCAAGGGCAAAGCAGTATTATGTAATAAACATATAATGCCCTGATGATGCTGTTTTCAGAGTATGTCTAATCTACAGCTCAGATTAGATTGTTCTGAGTATTTTTTATGTCTCATTTTTGAATTGCTCAACTTGTTGGAAGTCTTGAGGTTTTTTTCTATGTCACAACCTCTTAAGCCTTCATTTGCTCTTATATCGCATTTTTGCTTAAAAGGTACCTTTATTTGATAAGTGCCTGCAATTCTCAACTTTTTGAAATATAACATGATATATATGGTTAAAAGTTGATGAAATGCTTTTTGTTTTGTTAAAGTCTTCATATCAATAATTGACAGTTTGCATTTACATTTGTGACTTTTAAGTAAGAACCATTTCAGCACTCTGAATCTTGAACAACCTTAGCCTCCCTACCCCCACCTCCTTCCACAAGCTGACATTGCTTTTGCAACGTGAGTCCTAACTGATAAGGATATGTACTCTTGGAAGTATGAATGCATACATTTTTGCAATGTGCAGTAAAATGTTCAAGTTTCTAATGGTGGCAGTCTGTGCTATGTAGAAACAAATGTTACGCTCTTTTACATGTTAATGGTGCTTGTCCTTGTATAGGAAAATCCTAGTTGGGAGATGAGGTGGGGCAGTGAAATTATAATCTCTGTCATTTTTTCATTAGAGATAGTTCATTGTTGAGCTACAGTAATTGCTAAATCAATTGATGTTTTTGGTAAAGTCTTCATATGGCAGTGATTGTGACTGACTTTAAAACCAATTTTCTAGCATCTTTTTTTGTTTTGTAAATACAACTCCCATTTCAAATTTGTTTCTAAACATTCAGTAAGTTTTTGTGTTTACCATAAGGAGTCTCTTTTTTTTTATAACCTGAATTTAGCAAGTTGATCTTTTTGGAGGGGAGTGGCACCCCTAGTGAATGGATTGCTATACTCTTTAAAAAAATTTACAGTTGGTACTTCAGCAATTAACATTCTGTAAATATGTCCTATATATAAGTGTATTTACATAAAATATTGGTTTTTCTTTAGCTATAAGTGATTGAGTTTGAACTAAAAGATATACTAGCATTCCAGTATAATAACTTACTAGTGGGGAAAAAAAAAACCCTAAAAATAGCTGAAGAGAATATTATTGTAGTACATTGTATTTAAATGATTCATTTCCTTTATTTATTTATTTTTTTCCAGCCCAAATCATAATTCATGATGGGGCAGTATTCATTGTTAATAATTGTAGGATGAATTATGCTAATGACTATAGGTTTTCTGAAAGAAAATGTTTACTCTTTCTGTTAATGGTAAGGCCTAAGCCTGGATAGATAAGGTGGTAATTTTGTTTTCTGGACTGGGAAATTATCAAGAAATTATTTATAGGAGTATTACAGAAAACATCTGAGCTACTATTTAGAGTTTTGGACCAAAATTATATTTTATGATATTTATAAAATTGAAAGCCCCATGTAAAAAAGAAATTGACAGTGTGAGAATATTAGCAAAGCAATTTTGGTATTTGAAACATTTTAATTCATAAAACAAAGAAAAGCCCTGTATCTTTTTAAGCTATTAAGGTAGAAATTGTAATAGATACAACAATTTTTAGCCTGGGGTTAAGTAAGATAATGATAATTTGAGTTTTTTCATTGGTTAATGATTACTTTTTTGGTAATGTTATATCTCTTTTATTTGTGGAGAAATATGGGAGCCCTCTGGTGGACAGGAAATTACTAAAATGAATTTCCTTTCAAATTGAACTTGTATCACTTTTCCAAGTTAAAGTAAAATGACAGATGTAGAGTATGCCAGGGGACGATGTCATGCTAGAAAAAGGTCCAGAGAAAAGAAAATTTTTAACTTTGAAGAAGGAGTATATTAAGATCTAGTGCCCCAGATATTCTCTTTACTTATAGCTTCTTTTAATTTTTCTTTCTCTTGCTGGAGCTCTTATTTCAAATATAAGTGGGGAAGTTTTATGAAGCTAAAGGGTAGATAAGTATGTTTACCTATGTAAATTTGTGACAGTGAACAGTCTAATAAATAATATATCTCAAATGGCATGTTCTTCTAATTGTTTTACTTGAATATGTCTTACATTTGATGTTCTGAATTAGACATTTTTCATTAAGAAAACAGAAGACAATTTACCTCAGCTTTGAATGTCTTTTGCTTTCTGGCTCTAAATCCTATTCCAGCTCATGTCCCTCTCCTGTGAAGATCGCTTTTAGTTCATTTCTAGCCCTTGAGTGTGAACCATTTTGTGACTGTGTGTTACAGATTCTTCTTATACAGTGTCAAATTTATATGGATATCTGTCTTATATTACATCTCCCATGATTTTTAAAACAGACATTGTAAAGCCAGTGAGTGCTTTTCTTAACTCATGGAGCATTACTCTCTTTATTGTAAAAAAGAACTACTTTTTTACAATAAATCAGTACTACTACTGATTATGGTGTTAAATATGAGGTGTATGATGCCTGCTTCTGTTACTACTTTGAATATGAAAAATGTATTTTTAATATTAAATCTTGAAATTCTCTTGAATTAGTGGTTGGTTACTGATGGCTCTAATTTTCTTAATATGGAACAGTTGATATATTGTAGGAAACTGAAATATATGCTTCCTAAATATATTCTTTAAGAATTCCTCTCATTCTGGGGGAAAAGCTGAAAGTGACTATAGAATTCCTGGTAACTGGAATCCCTGAGGAGTGTCATTCTGAAACAGTAAATTTTCTGATTTCATGAAGGTTATTTTGGAAATACCCGAATCTAACAAGTTGGACTACTATCCTATTTACTTGAGCATGATATACTGCACATAATTCAACTTATTTTTGATGACCTAGAGCCATCATTTGAGTAATATTGATTCAGTTCAATGTATGTTCTTCGTTGAGTACTTCTCTGTGTAACATATGATTATTCTATAAGCTACAACTTCAAATCCTGAGCACCTAATATAGATTGTGAAGCTTTATGCCCCTTTACTGGGTCAATAAATTTACAAAGTGACATGAGGCAAGTCAATTGAGATGTGAGAATAAAAATAATAGAATTCCTATTTATTTATTTTATGCTCCAAAAAGAGGAATTAAGCTTTTGTATTAATATATGGATTGGCTTTGAGGCTTTTCTAGGTCCACATTCAGATGGTTACAATGAGTGTGGTTTGCTGAGGGAACTTGCGTGAGTTCTGTAATGTGGAGGCCAACAGCAGCACATGACTTTCTCAA